CACAAACCTATGACTCCTTTGAATCTCTGGCTAAAGAAATGAACATCAGGAAGTGAATGTCCACTGAGAGTAAGCATCCAATCCTTGCTTCCAGCCATCAAGCCACCCTCTCTGTAACCTCCAACCTGAGAAACCAAACCCCACCCTCCCCATCACTTGCCTTCTTCCTGATTTTCTCTGAGCCTAGTGGGTGCTCTTCAGGCAGCTCTCCCTTGGCAGGAATTCTGTATGTCGGGTATAGATTTGACAGGAAGGCTCAATGGTGGCCTCAACACTTCTTGATTGGTTTTGGCTCAGAAGGCCTTTGCTGGACTAGGGAGTCTGGCTCTCATGCCAATTCTCCAACCAGTAGGCAAAACCTCAAACACCTCAAGAAGATTCCATCCAATGTGCCGATATACAACAAATCCAAACTCATCCCATTCTCCCACTACAGAGGGTATCTACATTTCCCTGTGTAGGCACAGCTATTTTGAGAATACTGGCATTATTCGTTTTAAGACTTAGAAAATCGACAGCATAAAGTTTTTACAAAATGACTTTTATGTTTTGACTTTATCCTAATGAACTGTCATCTTTTTTGTAGAAAATGTTTTGATTGAATTCTGCTTTAACTAATATCCTCCCAGAAATTCCTGTAATGTCTAATTAATCCAAAGCCTACTTCAGTGCATAATTCAATCAGGCACATTGGCCAGGCCATACTGAGATTTTGCACATGGAAAATTACTTCTCCTGCATCTGAAAGAGCTGTTTCCTTAATATTAAAAATGATTTTACGGCCAATATTAAATGGTTCAAATCGTTCATTGCCTTCCACTAACAATTAATTTACAGTCCAGTATATTCATCAATAACTTCATGAGAAGATATGCATTCAGAAGATCTATTTTTGCCTTCTTTAATCTCTGTACTCTTTAGACATTTGTGATTCCAATGTTCAGATCTTGGATGGCAATCTAAGCACTTGCTCTGTTCGTGCCTATGTCACAAGTGTACAATTCATCATCACTTCTCTTCAGATTATGTACTATTAGACAAAGTGCTTTTCTAGCATGCAGTAGTTCAGATTTGTCACATGAACCAAGAACCATATCATCCTTTTCTCAGATAGCATTAACTTTGGGCTTTGATACTTCAAATCCAGGGTAACTATGCCTCTCTCCTTCCCACAATGTCATCCAAGGATTTCATGAAGACTACTGTTTTTTCCTTACTTTACAGGGAAGCTGTGGTTTTCGATGTCCTGAATCTTAGGTATATTTTCCCAGATTTTGTTGTTTCAGATTGCAGATTGGCACTTCAGCAATAGAACCCAATTGCCTTCTCCACGCTTGAAACTGGGATGAAGCACCATAGTCCCCGTTCTCCACTCTATGGAAGCATTAAGCTTTGTAACATCACAGTGTAAAGTGGTGCTACTATGTTCATCAGCTTCCTTATTCTGAAGCACTTGTTTGAAAATGGCATTAACTTTTAAGAAAGCAATGGCTTGTAGATTGCAAGTGTACCTCCTACTATCTTCTGATTTATGTGAGTGAATAATTAGTTCAACAATAGATCCTTTTTGCTTCACTTTATTTTTGACACTAGGCTGAAGTAGAGTGAACCCTTTTGTCCATTTACTTGTATCCGATCTGCTAATTTCATAATGCAGGATGGAAGGATCATCCTCTTGAGTTTCTTTATCCTGAAGCTTTTGCATGAAGGTCATAGGCAAGACTACAACTGTGAAGTGAGCTCTTGAATGTTAGAGGTGTTGATATTCTCAAGCAGATTAATTGTAAGAATTGGTAAAGTGCCATCCTGGTACAATTCATATTTCTTGTACGGTTTGATATCTGCCTCAACGTTTGGTCAGATTGCATAAGGCACTGATCTAGTATTGCAATATTTTGCTTGATTTTCATCCTGGATTTTCAATTTGTCAGAGACCTTTTCCATACTTCCCAGATCACCACTGAAAGTTATGGCATGCTTCTTTAGAATTTGTGACAGATTTATCAGAATCTGATAAACAATTTACTTCAGCCCAGTTGAATTAGATTTTTTCCATCCACATTTTTCCCAGCAAAACTAGAAAGTTTCCTTTGACAACACATAAGGACAAATCTTCAGACTGATCATATAACTGAATATTTACATTAACTAAACCTCTTAAAGGTACCATTTCACCTATGTTCCTTGGACAATTTCTAATTTTTTAAATTAATCTATTTTTCTAATCAACCTGTTCAGAGATGTTATTACACACCTCTGGAGCAGGTGGGACTGAAACCCAGGCCCCCTGGTCTAGTGGAATGGATACTACCACTGTACCGCATGAACCCTAGAACAATTTTTAAGGGTTGCAGCATAATGTGATTCAACTGCTTCTGATGTACACTTTCAGGTACCAATGAAACCACCTCCATTCTTACCAGTTTGCCATTCAGTAAGGGAGTGATCCTATACTGGGTGGTGTTATTAGTAATGGCCGGCATGTTTAATATAACATTTACTCTTCAGACTAAGGGTCTAGGCTTTTCTCACACCCATTTTGCACCACATAGCTTTTCTTTCTACTGTTTGGTTTCTGTGCCTCTTCTGTATGTTGTTCCTGTTTCTTCCTCAAACACACCCATTCACTATGCCCTTTGTAGTGATTGGAATGAGGTCAGCCAAGTGGATCTTATAGAATGTGAGTACCCTGATTGGGGCTGTTAACCTGGACCAATCAGGCAGCCCTGACAGGTGTGTCAGGGGCTCTGCTCACTCTAGGAGCCAGCTCTGTGCTAGTTGGACGAGTGTCATGTACTATGCACATATAAATAAAGGGTGATTAGTGACAGGATACTGGCCTTTGTGGAGCTATTTCACCCTTTTTTGCAGCAGTTTCTGCACACAGCTTCTTTATACTGCAATTTGCTGCTGTGTGACCTGCTTTTCCACACCAATGGCAGTATTGAGTCTGCCCTGTGCTTGTCTCTCAGACGCCATTTTGTGAACTCTCTCAGCTACTGTTTTAGAACTCTTGTGCTTGAGTTTAACTATTAGGCTTCCTTAGCTGTTAGTTCCATTCAGACCACTATTTCTAGTGCTCTCTTTAAGTTTGGGTTCATTCCCATCAGTAATATTTTCTGGATTACTTCACATCTTAATCTACGCACCAGTCTGCCTCTGAAAACATCATTTAAAGTTATCTCTGAATTCACAAAATTCTGCTAACTTCTTTAAAATTGCTACAAACTGGTAGACAGATTCACCATTGTTCTGTAAATGAAAAACCAAACAGCTGTGGAACTGGAAATCAGAAACAAATCAGAAATAGCTTTAAAAAACTAAGTAGGTCTGGCATTATCTGTGGAGAGAAAGCAGAATTAACATTGAGTCCAGTGATTCTTCTTCAGAACCATTGAAATGTTAACTCTTCTTTCTCTGCATTAATACTGCCCAACCTGCTGAGTTTTTCCAGCTATTTCTGATTTTGCTCACCATTATTCTAGTTGCATTGTAAAATCTGAACGTTTTGGCAATCACCATGGCTTTGGTGAAAAATGGTTCTGTAGGATTCCTATTATTTTTTCACAAGTTTTGGAACCCACCTTCTCTGGCTGTACCAGACTCCTCAGGAGGTTAAATGTTTCTCTGCCCATAATACTCAGGAATACATGGATGATATTGTCTGCTTCAATCTTATTAGATTGAAAAAAAAATCACAGAATTGCTGCTTAGGAGTTGCAGCTTGCTATATTGTCATCATATGGTCCTATGGTGCCTACATGTACCATCTTTTTTTAAATAATGGGAAGGCCTGCCTAGCATGATGCACCATGAAAATTTTGGCATTAACTTGTTTCTTTCCAAATAAAATAAATTATACCTGAGGTTGCCTAATCCTTTCCAAGTCTATAACATTTCCTCCACGTAGGATATTCATTATGTGTTCCTTCAGGGTGGCACATATGGTGAGCTTCTTCTACACTGTTCACCTCTTCTGTTTTGAAGATTAGAGCTTTTATTGAGGGAAGATCAGTTAGACAATGCAATGGGCTGAACAGTCTCCTGCTGTGTCATCGGAGTTTATTTGGACACTGGTAAACGGCTCCCAGATATCAGCCGTGCTGTTGTGTAGGAGAGGAACTGCAAGGAAGGAGAACAAGTGGAAGAAGAATGAGGTGCTCAGGTTCATGTGGGGGGTCAATTCCAGTTGGCGCACTGATCACCTCTTCCCTGGGTGAATTCTTTGTTCCCCCTCACTGACTGTACCTGCTTCGGTGCAGTGATGACACATTTTGATTTATTTTCTTCTTTTTATCAACATGCCTCTGAGATCTGTAGTGAAGTCCATGATTTTGCTTTTTTCCAATGAATGAGTGGATTCACCCAACAGATATCAAGGCAGATTTTATACTCATGGCCAGTTATCTTCTTGTGTTACACTTCAAGAAGAATAGGAGGCCAAAGTGTTTAATAACCAGCAGAGCTTTATTATACAAAGTGTTCACTCTACAGACAGCAAGATTAGACTGAGCTGTGGCCGGTGACGGATGCCTTGTAATCAGACTCTTAAAGGGATAGTCCACCAAACTTATGAAATACACAACATCGCTTATCCCTCTTTCCCTTCCGCCCTTGAATACAGTCAACCTTCAAGCTATACTTACACCCTTCTCTCTCCCTTCCAAACATATTGTAACCATAAGTACTAATGATATCTGAATCTTGTATTTGTAAGTGCTGTGATTTGTATTATGCACAAATTGTATAGTAATAAACAAACATAATGCATTATTTGCATTATTTGTGGAAACACATTATCTTATGTACCTGTAGAATTAAAAATTATGTTCTCAGATTACACATGAAATCTGAAATGTCCATTAACAGTGTAAAAGTTACAATTGTTGAATACTCAAACTATTCAGCAGATAAATACATCATATGATGTGATGCTGACCAGAAAATCAGCTTGAGTGATATTGTTTGAGAGATAAATATTAGCCAAGATCCCAGTGTAACACCCTCTGTTCTTCAAATAATGAAACAGGATCTTCCACATCCAACCAGAGACAACAGATAGAATCTCAATGTAATAGGTGTTCAAATCCCTGCAGCTGAGTTTGAAAACACAATCTTCTGATTTAGAGATGACCATCTCCCATTGAACGAAGATTGACAATTTTACTTTCAGACATGAAAAATAGTCATGGTTGTGCTGTTGAAAAACTGCTCTAACACCCAGAACCATATCAAAGGATAATTAACCATCTTTTAAGAGAAGAAGGGAGATAGGTAACAGGAATTGGGAAAGTCAGGAAAGAGGCAGCTGACCTATTGACATCTAGACAGAAAATTTTCACCTAAAACATTTTCTTCTAAATCAAGACCAAGATCCCATGGGCTCTTAATGAAATTATTCTGCTTACTTTGGACCATATTGTATGCACTTCTGTGTATTCTGAATGCAATTACTTTAAAATTAACTTTTATTGTCTCCTCAAGGATACATTATCATCATGTGGCATAACATTATGAAATGAATATGTACCAAATGAGGCTTTCAAGTCTCAACAGCATTGCCAGAATGTCTAGCACGTGCAGTGAAAGTTTTGCCTTAGCCAAATCACTATCACACAGCATATTCTTGTTTCTAGTGGAGCAATAACTCGCCCTGAAAACCACCATTTTACCATGCTCTAGTTCCAGCCTTGAAGGGAATAAGTTGATACCCACAATTTGCTCAGCGACTATCCAAATCATTGTTCACTGATCACAAGGAGGCACTGCATATGTGTCAGGAATCTTGTTACACCAGAAGCAATAAAAATGACATGACTTGTCTTCTGTAAAATCCCTAGAGTGTGGAAACTGGCCCTTCAGCCCAACAAGTCCACACCGACCCTCAGAGCATCCCACCCAGATGGCACCTAATCTACACATCCCTCAACACTACAGGCAATTTTCCATGGCCACTCCACCTAGCCTGCACATCTTTGGACCATGGGAGGAAACTGGAGCAAACCCACGCAGACATGGGGAGAATGTGCAAACTCCACACAGACAGTCACCTGAGGGTAGAATTGAACCCAGGTCCCAGGCACTGTGAGGCAGCAGTGCTAACCACTCAGCCACTGTACCACCCCTTTTTTTAAAAGCCACTGACTCTCAAGCTTGCCTTCTCTGAGGACTGAACTCAGGACCTTCAGATCATGAGACTGACGCGTTGCCTACTGTGCTAAGAAGGCTTCTCTTAAGTGTTTACAAGTAGCAGACTTAAAAACATCTCTGACCAAGGTGTGATCAATTGTCTGCCTTAACAGCTGTTGGTAATGGCAGGAAGCAGCAGTGGAATGAGACAGAATTATCATGAAAGGATTAACCTATTACCCCAAATATTCTAATTTGTAGTTTGTGAAATCTGTACAGTTTCTTACCTTGTGTACATTATCTATAGTGATTGCTTTGGAGGTACTAGATCGTAGAAAAATTATACAAACACCAGTGAGTGCCACATCTTTCCCCTCAGTCACAAGTATTTTTGGTTTCTTGCTACGCCCAGTATTAGGATTTGTTCCTGCTCCAAGAAGGCCTATATGCCCTGGAAAAGAAGTTGACAATAAATTTATAAAAAAGTATTCACTGACATCAATCATTTCCTGCAGTTTGTGATCTTTCTGGACAGTTGCTCCTTACTAAAGGGAGAATGCCCCAGACTAAAAACTTCCTCATCTTCTATCTGAGAATCTCCTGAGTAATGCAAATAAAGCCCATTTGGGATATGGGCTTCAGTTTTAGCTTCACTCGCATAGACCTCAAAATGCCTAAATTAACCTCTACTCGTCCTACAAAGAAGGCAATTGGGAATATTATAGAATGTCTCCTGAGACTTTGGTCACTCCATTCCGCAGTGGGAAGTCTATCCCAGGATTCCCAACCTCCCCCAGCTGGCAAATACCTGAAAGCTACCCTTCATCCCAGAAGGACACACAAGTAAAACGTGCAAATGGCACATATTGATCTGACTTGCTGTGATTACTTCAAAATGGACCTCCAGTACATTCATTTCCAAATAGTTTTTTTATTGCTTTTCCCTTTAGGCTAATAAGGATACCAACCAGCATCTCATAGGCGCAGTGATCTCCCATGATATCACATATTTTGGCAGAGCAACATGTTGAACTTTCAAGGTAAAAGAAAAGATTTCTAGTGGTCACCTAATTCTCACCTGTATTTTCTGACCTTTAAAAAACAAACATCCTGCCATCTGTGAGATGCAGAGACTGAGACGCAGATAAACAAGGTCAAGATGCCAAATGTAAAATTTACTACAATCCCTTAGAAAGTTACAGACTAGAGTCATTAAGCTCAAGACATTCCTGCCTTAATAATAATGATGATGTGGAGGCGCCGGTGTTGGAATTGGTTAGACAAGGTCAGAAGTCACACAACACCAGGTTATAGTCCAACAGGTAATAATGATACCAATGGGGCTATTTTCATGACTGAGCATTCTGAAAATGGCAGGTTTACCTTCCCTTCCCAGTCAACAATCCATTGCTAATTGCTACACAGTTTCCTGTTTCAGGTGTGAGTCTGCTTGTGATATACAGGGTCTTATGACACCATAACATGCCTCCCAAAACCCTTTCAAAGTAACAATGCATTGGGTACAGCATACATTCCTTTCATTTATAATTAGCAGAGAGCAGGCTAACTAACCCAGAAGAATTACAGTAGAGCCATTCAACAAAATATAAATGAATATGATAAGAATTTGTTTAGGGTGAGGAGAAGCATGAAATTCCATCCACCCAGAAAATTACCATTTCCTTCTTATTATTTCCAATCTATTTTACATGGATATTGTCAAATTTCTCACACTAATCTCCCAGCTGACAGCAAAATACCTGCAACTCATTCATGGGATGTGACATCATTGGAAGGCCAGCATTTGTTGTCCATCTGTAATTACTTGTGAAAAAGGGGAAATGTACTACCTTCTTGGACCGCTGCAGTCCATCTGGTATGACAATATTCACATTGCTGCTAGGAAATATTATATTTTATTGTAATCTATACATTGACTGGACATATCAGATGAACCAGGTGGCATGACAGATAAAGTTCTACAGATCATCAGGAATTGCTTGTAAGAGGAATATGTTTTTGAACTTACCCAGGAACACACTGTTTTAAATCTAGCAAAGTGCAATGAGGTAGCTTTAACACGTATTCTCGTAGTTAAGCAACCTCTAGGAGGTAGCAATCGCAGCAAAGCAGAATTTCAAATTCAGTTTTAGGAAGAGCAATATGGTTATCAAATTAGTATCCACAATTTAAATAAGGGCAATTATGAAGAAAGAGCAGTTTAAAGTGAGCTGGGTAAGGAGATTAAGGGAAAATTTGTGGATAAGCAATGGCAGACATTTAAGCAGATACTTCAAAACGCTCAGCAAAAAATTATTCCAGTCAAGAAGGACATGATGGGAAAGATGAACCACTACAGTTAACAAAGGAAGTCAAGGAGAGTATCTGACCAAAAATTAAGGCATACAAAGTGATGAAAATTAGTGGTAAACTAGAGGATTGGGATTTTCAGGCAGATCAAGTAGTTCCACAACTGCATGTCAGTTATACACCACAGTAATTCTCCCTTGGTTTCTTTGTTTATTCTGTCCCTCTGAGAACTTGGACAGGTAGTAGCGTGGCAGGTTTGTCTTAACTCTGTTGGCAATGGTAAGCCCACAGAGCAGGTTTGTTACAGACATTGAAGTCCTTTTACTAGCCCATCCCTACCTACCCAGAGGGCAATTAAGAGTCAACCACATTGCTGTGGGTCTGGAGTCACATATTGAAGCAGATTTCCTTCCCCAAAAGAACATTAATGAACTAGAATTTTCCCCCTATAACAATTAACAGTGGTTACATGTTGCCATTAGGATATATTTGTATTCCAGGCTTTTTCATTGTATTTAAATACTAGCATCATAGAGGGATTTGAAATCATGTCCCCAAGAACATTAACCTGGGGTTCTGGAATACTAACTTAGTGATAATCCCACTATGCCCAGTCTCACTTTGCACTGACTTCCAGAATTAACTTCTTTCTTGGGTCATAATCCTATTGAATACAAGTTTCAACTGACAGCACTTACTTAAGTGTTTGAATACACTTTGATGGTCCTCCTGCCATGCACATTGTATGTTTTGCTTAAGAGTTCTCCTAATGTTGATGGAATGTTTGGTATGCATGCTAGGAAGTCAAAAAATCCGAGACTATAACTTGAACAGATGGGACAAAAAGTTGTCCTGACTTCCATTTACCTCACGAGGCACATTGCTGTTGAAGACGAGTCCTTCACATGCAGCCACCATTAGTACGTGTAGATTTTGATTGTGTTCTTCTTTGGTTTTGCGTATCACCACAATATCATCAGCACAACATACACACCAATGTTCCCTGTAAGCTGGTCAGCCATGCACCAACTTGCAGGGTCTACCCAGGCCACGTGCATGATATGCAGACAAATTGACTTCACTGAAGTCACTGCCACAGATCGAACTTTGAGGTCTGCACAACAGCAGGAGAAATTAGAGGGAACATAGATAGAAACCCAGGAACGTCTTGTGTAATTCTATCCATATGCTGTTAAAACAGATCCTAACTAACACCAAAACTGAAGGTAATTGCTGGAAGCAGTACCTTCCAAACGTAATTGTGAACATAGTGATTTCCTAATATTGTTTATCGAGTGAGCAGACCAATATTCATGCCTGGTATCTAACTTGGAGAACTTAGACCCTGTAATTTCAGATTCCAGTTCCTCTAAAGTTTAAAATTTGTGTGTGCATCTCTTTCAAGAAAGGTGTACAAGTTGTGGGTCCAGAAATACCCCGATTGTGCCCTCTTTCTTCAGCATGCACTTAATAGATTGGCACCAGTCTGTGTGTTGACATCCAGAATAGATCATGGCGTTACATTCCATAATGTCCAGCTCATTCTCAAGCTTTCTAGGAGTGTCAACTGAAGAAAGTGCAGATTCTCTAGGGCCTTTTGTATTGTTAGTACACAGAAAGAACTTGCACACATAAAGGGGGTAGCCATGGGTACCCACATGGGCCCAAGCTACGCCTGCCTCTTTGTAGGTTACGTAGAACAATCCCTCTTCCGTACCTACACCGGCCCTAAACCCCACCTCTTCCTCCGTTACATTGATGACTGTATCGGCGCCGCCTCGTGCTCACACGAGGAGCTCGAACAGTTCATACACTTCACTAACACATTCCACCCCAACCTTAAGTTTACCTGGACCATCTCTAACACCTCTCTCCCCTTCCTGGACCTCTCTGTCTCCATATCGGGCAACCACCTAGAAACCGATATTCATTTCAAGCCCACCGACTCCCACAGCTACCTAGAATACTCCTCCTCCCACCCACCTTCCTGCAAAAATGCTATCCCCTATTCCCAATTCCTTCGCCTCCGCCGCATCTGCTCCCAGGATGAGGCATTCCACTCCCGTACATCTCAGTTGTCCTCGTTTTTCAAGGACCGTAACTTCCCCCCCTCGGTGGTCGAGAACGCCCTCAACCGTGTCTCCCACATCTCCCGCACCTCATCCCTCACACCCCGTCCACGCAATAAGAACCAAAAAAGAATCCCCCTCGTCCTCACGTACCACCCCACCAACCTCCGGATCCAACGCATCATCCTCCGACACTTCCGCCATCTGCAATCCGACCCCACCACCAAAGACATCTTTCCCTCCCCACCCTTATCTGCTTTCCGGAGGGACAACTCTCTCCGTGACTCCCTTGTCCGCTCCACACTCCCCTCCAGCTCCACCACACCCGGCACTTTTCCCTGCAACCGCAGGAAGTGCTACACCTGCCCCCATACCTCCTCCCTCATCCCCATCCCAGGCCCCAAGAAGCCTTTCCATATCAAGCAGATGTTCACCTGCACATCTGCCAATGTGGTATACTGCATCCGCTGTACCCGGTGTGGCTTCCTCTACATCGGGGAAACCAACCGGAGGCTCGGGGACCGCTTTGCAGAACACCTACGCTCGGTTCGCAGCAAACAACTGCACCTCCCAGTCGCGAACCATTTCAACTCCCCCTCCCATTCCTCAGACGACATGTCCATCCTGGGCCTCCTGCAGTGCCACAACGATGCCACCCGAAGGTTGCAGGAACAGCAACTCATATTCCGCTTGGGAACCCTGCAGCCCAATGGTATCAATGTGGATTTCACAAGTTTCAAAATCTCCCCTCCCCCTACCGCATCCCAAAACCAGTCCAGCTCGTCCCTGCCTCCCTAACCTGTTCTTCCTCCCACCTATCCCCTCCTCCCACCTCAAGCCGCACCTCCATCTCCTACCGACCAACCCCATTCCGCCCCCTTGACCTGTCCGTCCTCCCTGGACTGACCTATCCCCTTCCTAACTCCCCACCTACACTCACCTTTACTGGCTCCATCCCCGCCTCTTTGACCTGTTTGTTTCCTCTCCACCTATCCTCTCCTCTATCCCTCTTCTATCTGCCTCCCACTCTCTCCCTATTTATTTCAAAACCCCCTTCCCCTCCCCCTTTTCT